CCCACCCTTCCTGTTACAAAAGTCAGGCCAACTCTGATCTGTCCAAAATATCAGCAAAATAGACTTAGAGATAACAAGTAGGAGAAATAAAACTTCCCTGGACTTTCAGTTTCCTGGTAGAGAACACTAGCTTCAAATGAGTAAGATTATGCTTGAAATACCAACACTCACAGACTGAGGCAGGAGAAGGCAAAGAGCCTCCAAAGAGGAGACTGAGAATTTGAAACAGAAACTGATTGAGATAACGGTTGGGGGAGAAATGAGTAAAGCTAGCTCAAGGCTGACCCAAACCGGTTGAATCTGAGAGGCCAAATGTGAAAGAGTTAGTTTCTATGTTGATTCGTTTTGGGAACAGTAGTTGATCATGATAGTGTGCTCTACACTTTATTCTAAGCCAGAGACAAGCATGGAACAAGATTTACATTCTAGCAGAAGACTAAACCAACAAGTCGAATGTGTTACATGCTAAATGGTTATAGCTGTTATGCAGAAAGGAAGCAGAGAAGCGAGATTTGGGGGAGATGTGAGGCTGTGGGCTGTGGCTCATCTGTAGTCATAGCTATTGGCCGGGGCCTGGGGCGGGGTGATGAGTTCAAAGCCAGCCTTGGTAGCATATACTGATATCTCAAAATAGACAAACCAGTCATGGTCATAATCACAATACTTGCAATGTGGAGACAGAAGGATCCTAAGTTCCAGGCATATTGATATTCTAGCATGTGTAAAGCCCTGGTTTCTATGTAACAGCACAAAAAGGAAAACAAGTTATGTATAACTGTTACCTTGAGGTTAACAGAACTTGAATTCCCTAAGGAGCAACTATGATCTGAGCGATTACATCAGTTACTGGCTCAGTCTATTGGAAGAAGTGTCATGCAAATTTTAGGGCTCATTTTGGTTTTAGTGAAATGCCACATAGACTGGGCTTTTGGTATATACCTGTAATCTCAGCACTAGGAAATTAGAGGCAAAGAGGATCAGGAGTTCAAGGCCAACCTTGGCTGCATAGCAAATGTGAGGCCAGCCTAAAAATATGAGGGCCAGTTTAAAAATAAAGCAGGAAATGCCATGTACTTAGCCAGGTCTGGTGGTATATACTTATAGTCCTAGCACTCAGGGGCTAAGATGGGGATTGACTAGTCCATGCCAGCCTCTGCTGCATGTTGAGAGATTGGCTCAAAAATGAGAACAAAGCAAAACAATAAGACATACCATCTAGTTGTAAATTAGTTACAGAGGAGCTGTGGAGCTGGCACACTGGCTGCTCTTGCAGAGGACCCTACTTCGGTCTCAATACCAAGCCATCTGGAGCCTCTGTTCTAGCTTCTGATGCCTCGACCTCTGCAGGTACCAGGCATGTGCATGGTGCAATAAATATATGCAGGCAAGTCGTACATATACAATAAATCTAAAAGTTTAAGGTTGCTGAGCGTGCTGGTGCATGCCTGTAATCCCAGCACAGAGAGAGGCAGAGGTAGTTGGATCTCTGTGACTTTGAGGCCGGCCTGGTGTACCAAGTGAGTCCAGGACAGCCAGGGCTACAGAGAAACCCTGTCTCGAAATAACAACAAACACCCCCCCAACAAGTTTAACATTAGTTATACGTATCAGATATTTCTGATGAAAGTACGTGATTTGTGGGAAATGAGTTTTTTTCATTTAGCACATAAATTACATATGGACACATATACAAAAATGTGAAGGGTAAGAGCTTTTCCTTGGGCTCGAATTTTTATAGTTTTTTATTCTATTTGGGTCTCCCCCTCCCCGGCCCAGAAATCAGTTCTTTATTCCTAAATGCTTTGCAGTGGATGACATCTCACACAATGACGCAGCCTCACACAGCGTGTGGGACGCACAGAAGCATGGAAGCCTTCAGTTTGGAGATGTTTATGATGCTGGGCCTTTCTAGTATGTTCTGAATGACAGGTCCTTTGTGCACAAACAGGGGACAATTTATACAGCAAATAGGGAGCATATTGGGGGTATTACCTTGCTTTCTTAAAAGATTTTCTTTTCTTAAACTTATGTTTCATTTTATGTGCATTTGTGTTTTGCCTATATGTGTGTCTATGTGAGGGTGTTGGAGCATCTTGAATGAACTGGAGTTACAGACAGTTGTGAGCTGACCTGTGGGTGCTGGGAATCGAACCTGGGAGAACAGCTAATGCTCTTAGCCACTGAGCTATTGCTTCAACCCTCAAAAGATTTTATTTCTCTCTCTCTCTCTCTCTCTCTCTCTCTCTCTCTCTGTGTTTTCAGCCTCTGATACTTACTGCTGAATAAGCTCACCCTTTCTTGTTCTTTCTGAGCTCTTGCAGGCTGGTTCAACTCAGCTGTTCTGGCTCAAACTTCTCTCTCCAGGCTGACTGATTCAAACTGGCTTCTCTCTTGGCTTCTGACTGAATTGCTCTGCTTGGCCTCTAGCCAAAATTAGAACAAAATCTGTTCTAATTTTCTGGGTCCTTCTCATTCTCTACCCTCCTTCTGTCTTCACCTGTGTTTAACTTGTTCTCTCTTCAACCTCTTTCTGTAAAAGTCTCCCAGTAAAAACTGCCTCTTAATCCCATAAACTGAACTGCCATGAACTCAACTCCACTGCACTGCCTCTCAACTCACTGACTCAGCCAGATTGCCTGAACAACACTGGCGAGAACTCAGATCTGTGTGCCTCTGCCTCCTGAGTACTGGGATTGAAGGCATGAAGCACCCCACGCCTGGACCTAAGCTTTTCTTTACCTGAAACTTGCTTTCTACCAGGCTGGCCTTGAACTCAGAGATCTGCTTTTCTGTCTCCTGGATTAAAGGCATGTCTATAGGTCTTTGAATGTGATCTTTTGTCAGAGTAGCCATGCTCTGAATTGAACCCCCTCCCCCCCCAGTTTGTTTGTTATGTTTTGTTTCTTGGGACAGGGTTTCTCTATGTAGCCCTGGCTGGCCTGGAACTCACTCTGTAGACCAGGCTGGTTTTGAACTCAGAGACCTGCCTGCCTGTGCTCCCCAGGTGCTGGGATTAAAAGTGTACATCCCCTCCCCACTGTCTTTCTTTTATAAACACACACACACACACACACACACACACACACACACACACACACACATATCTATATACACACATACACACATTCACTTTTTTTCCCCCAGGTTCTTATGTAGCCAAGGCTGGCTTTGGGGTCTTGATCCTCTTGCCTAAGCTTCTCAGGCATAAATCACTTCACTTAAGCCTCTTGCTTTAATTATTTTTTAAAAACGGTTTAACATTATTCATTAAATATTTATATTAAATATATATTAAATATTATTTACTAAATGGTTTAATATTATCTATTTTATTTTATGTGTATGGGTGTTTTGCCTGCATGTATGTTTATGTGCCACTTGTGTACCTGGTACCCCCAGAGGTCAGAAGAGGCTGTCAGGTTGCCTGGAACTGGAGTTATATATGGTTGTGAGTCCCTGTGTGGGTGCTGGGAACAGAACTCAGGTTCTCTGAGGAGTAGACAGTGCTCTTAACTATTGAGTCATCTCTCTAGCTTGGTACTTTAAATTTAAACAATGAGAGCATATTGTATATTTTGTTATTGAAAGCAGCACAATGGCACTCAGCATTCAAAAATAAATCTAGGAGTTTAAGAAGGCATCACTGAGAACTTGACATTGAGAAGAGATCTGAGAAGAGACGGAAAAGAGCAATGCAATATCTGGGAATGAAAGAACATTCTAGGCAGAGGGGTGGCAAGAGCAAAGTCCTTGAGGAACAAGGGGGAAAAGGGGTGAAGGTACACATGCCAGATCACAGGCTATAAACGGGGCCAGAGAGGATACAAATTGTAGGCCATAAGGAAGACTGATTTTTATTGTGATTGAAATTTATACTGACAATCGAAAGATAAGCATATAAGAAAGCCTGGGTGCTCCCGGGGCAAGCTCCAGCTCTGCGCTTCGGACTCTGGATTCAGTTCATTCATTTAGCTACCTATCATTTATTCTCCAAGCATTTGGGGAGGAGGCCTGTGCTAGAAAACATCCTCACATCATCCTTGGAAGAAGAAGGCCTTTTAGGGTTTGGGGAAGTCCTGCCTACCCACAGGTGGGGTTAGTACTGTCAGTGTGGCTTGGTAAGCTGTCGGCTTGGGAAATGAATAGGTTAACTAACTGCAGACACAGAGGGAGGAAGCCAGAGAGTGTGGAAGTTCAAGTAGGAAGAAGGGGCAGCCCTTGGCAGTTGTTTCCCCAGTGATTCTAAACCCTAGCCTGGCCTGAGGAGAGGACACAGGCCAGGACAGCTGGCCTGGACATGAGATGTCTGCCTGTTGACGACTTACTCATGCTTCACTTTTAGAACAGTTTCCAGAAAGTGGTGGGAGGGAATGGGCAGGACAGCTAAATATAGCGCTTGGGCCACTGAACTATCTGGGAGGGTCTGCCTTCTGTTCACTGTGTGCCTGTCACCTGTCCTGTCTACCCACTGCCATCTGGCCCCAAGTCCCTGCCCTTAAATCGAGCCTGCTGCTTGCTTCTTGGTTGTCTGCGGCCACAGCTCTGACCACCCCGCTCTAAGGCCTGTTCCCAACTGATCCTCCTAAGTTTTTCCATCAGACCTGTGTGAGTCCTGTGGGCTTGGAGATACAGGGGAGGAGAGGGCTGGGTGTGCTAGAGAGGTCAGTGGGAGGACAGCTGGGGAGGGGATTCTAGATAATTCCACAGGAATGGCGGCCTAGGCCTCGGTCAGAGGCTGAAGCCTGGGCTAAATCAGGAGCAAGAAGACGGGACTGGAAGCTGGTGTTTAGAAACCGGGGTTGACAAATGCCCAGTTGGGTCACATTTGTTTTTATCTGGGCTGAGAACGGCAATATACACTCCCTTTGGGACGACAGCAAATCCTCTTTACCTGTTGGCCGTAAACCAGAGTCTCTACCAGTATGGGATGTGAGGTAGTTACAGGATGCGGCCACAGACCCAGGGTGGGATTGAGCTGGACTCCTCTTCCCAGGCTCACCATGTCGGCTGCACCCGGCCTTCTGCGCCAGGAGCTGTCCTGCCCGCTGTGCTTGCGGCTGTTCGATGCGCCAGTGACCGCTGAGTGTGGCCACAGTTTCTGCCGGGCCTGCCTGGTCCGCGTGGCAGGGGAGCCTGCCGCCGATGGCACGGTTCCCTGTCCCAGCTGTCAAGCGCCCACGCGGCCTCAGGCGCTAAGCACTAACCTGCAGCTGGCGCGTCTGGTGGAGGGGCTGGCGCAAGTGCCGCAAGGCCACTGCGAGGAGCACCTGGATCCACTGAGCATCTACTGCGAGCAGGACCGCACGCTCGTGTGTGGCGTGTGTGCCTCGCTCGGTTCGCACCGTGGCCACCGCCTTCTGCCTGCCGCCGAGGCCCACGCACGCCTCAAGGTGGGGGACCCGGTGGGGGGTGGAACGGGACTGCTGAATAGAGCGGGCTCTGACCTTGGGAAGGTGCTGGGTTGATTTGAGCTAAGGGGAGTGGGCGGGGCTAAGCAGCAGGGGAGGGGGTCAAAAGGCGTCCGCCCGAGCAGACTGGAACCCGCCGGCGGCGTGCAGAATATCAGGCTTGCTTGGCTGCCGTCCTCCAGCAAGCCTGAGAACGCCGGAGCGGGGTCTGACCTAACTGTGGTGTGCCTAGACTATTGGGACTGGGTGACCACCTGCGGCCCGCTCACTCTTGAGTGGACTGGGTGGGCCCGCTAGACTGGCATGTTTGCGTGGTGGAGGATCCGGTAAGGCCAGCAGAGGGACAGTTAGAGGCGTGGCTAGGAGTCCCAGAACCTGGCTGTCCGGTTAGTAGGGCGATGGAGTTTTGGCAGAGGCCCACTCATTCCTGAAATCGCTAAACTTGTGCAAGCCTGAAGTTGGCGAGGGAAGTGGGAAGGGCAGGGCACATCTGGCCAAGGCTCACTGTGGGTAGGTAGCACCAAGACACCAGTCTAGGTTGTTATATAGTCGGAGTACAGCGCTTACACAGTCGTGTTCTCCCGAAGCTGCACCAGGAAAAATATCCAATTATCGTCAAATGGATATACACCAGGTATACAGGTATACACGCTCCTATAAGACATGAATATCACAAATGACATGCATGCAGATACTAGTTAGCCAAGAAAGGTGTTATTAAGTATTAATTAGGCTGTGGAAAAAACGACAGGTGCAGAGGTGGGGGTGTGTGGAAATGGGGTCTGGAGGCAAAAGCTGCTGCCATTGTCTTCTGCTGCCTGACAGGCAATGCTTTTCTCAGCACACTGTCCTGCGGTAGCACTTCCCAAACTTCCCAAAGCCTTGCCTCCCAACCCTCCTTGCTGCTCCGGCCTTAGTCAATCCAGCTCAATCCTGGCTGTAAGTCAGGAGCCCACCCAGCCCAGTTTCCTCTTTGCTGATCCCAGCACTCTAAACCTTGTTCATTTTTACCTGTGAAGAGAGACTAGAACCTGTGAAATAGAAGTGTATCGGGTTTCTGGAAACGTAAGGGGCAGAAGCGGAGCTCAAGTCTTGAAGATCCACATCAGGTTAGGCCTAAGCCTTAGGGGCTCTGACCAAGGAGAACCCAGAAAAGAGCCCGAAGGAGGAGGAGGACAGGAAGTCTCTGGAGCGAGATGGAGGGCAACTTGATGCCTGGAGCTTTGACACGTTAGGGGGGTTGGGTCGGGAACCCACTTAGGAGACTCAAAGTGGTCGGAGGAATTCCTGGTGCTGGAGCAGGGGCTCATACTGCTTTTTGAAGCGGTGCTGCCTGCTCCTGCCCACCCAGGTCCCGCAGCATGGCTGCTGTGTCCTCGAAGTAAAAGGCAACCAGCCTGTTGGTGAGGCTGACGGCATCCTGTGGTAAGTTGCCCTTAACTCCCAGGATGTGTTGAAAACCCTCGTGTAAAGCGTGCGTCACCAGCTTCAAGCTTGGACTTCGTGAGCCAGTCAGCTGTCAGGCTGCCCAGCACCTTCTGATGGTGCTTGCTTGCTCAGCCCTGCGACCTCTGAACCGCTGACCACAGGCACCCAGAGCAACCAGGCTGGCCTTGCTGGCAGCAGGTGATGATGCCTTAAGAGAGGACAGCTGAGGAGGAGACTGACCTGGCCTCTAGCCAGGAGTCCTTGGTTCAGCCCCGTGAACGTGCTTCAACAAACACCACCTTGGGTCTTCAATCTCCCCGGGGGGGGGGGGCAGGAGGGGCAGCTGCGCAGGGGGAACTGATGGGAGTGATGGTGGTAGAAGGCAGAGGTGGCTACGGTAGGAACCTGTAGAGGCTTTTCTATGCTTGCGCTTCATAGAAGGGGTTCGTTGATCCACAGTGAGCATGCACATTAGACTGTCTGTCCTCAGAGCCCATAGGTGTGGACAGGGGCTGACTAGGGCACCAGGCTGACTGTGACTGAATTTTAAAATAAGGAGTGAAACCCCGGGAAGGGAAGATTACATTCCTCTTCCTCCCTCTTTTCTATCTTCTTCTTCCCCCTCCTCCCCTTCTTCCTTCCCCCTTTCCACCTTCCTCCTCTTCATCCCCCTCTTCCACCTTCGTCCTTGTTCCTCTTCCTCCTCCTCTTTCTCCTCCTCCCTGTCTTCCTCCTTTCTCTTCTTCCTTCTCTCCCTCTTTTTTTCCATCCCTTCTTCCTCCCCCTCTTCCATCTTCCTCTTTCCCCCTCCTCCTCTTCTTTCTCCCCCTTACTTTTCTTTCCCTTTTTTTCCTTTACAGCTTCTACTCCGAGACAGAGTATTATTATGCAGCTCAGGCTGGCCTCAAATTTGTAATCCTCCTGCCTCCTGAGTGCTGGGGTTATAGACATGCACTCACACCCAGCTTCATTTCTTTTTCTTTTCTTTTCTTTCTTCTTCTTCTTTTTTTTTTCCATACATCCTTCACTCACTTCTGGAAGCCAGTGTGTGCTCTACTTCCTAGTCTGGTGGTGATCTTGTGCTTGTGATCTTTGCAAGAACTTGTACTGGGGTTAGCTGCTTGGCGGTGAGGCTGGGGAGTTAAGAAAATAGACCATGGCAGGCAAAGGTACTAGGATAAAGTATGGCCAGGCCCAGAGGCATGGCTGGGGACTAAGCTGAGGGCTGGAGAAGGCGCTGACATTGAGGGGAAAGTACAGATGGCAGGAGGGTGGTGCCCTGTCATCTCTTTTATCTTGTCCCTTAGACACAGCTCCCGCAACAGAAGATACAGCTGCAGGAGGCATGCATGCGCAAGGAGAAGAGTGTAGCGGTGCTGGAGCATCAGCTGGTGGAAGTGAAGGTGAGGGGGTCTAGGTGGCAGAGCCCTGGGACCGGACGTCCAGGCTGAGAATCCCCAGGCAAGAATCTTCTCATTCCCATTTCAGGAGACAGTGCGTTATTTCCGGGAAGCTGTTGGGGAACAGCTGGGGAAGATGCGGGTGTTCCTGGATGCTCTGGAAAGTTCTTTGGACCGTGAAGCAGAAAGGGTTCAGAGTGAGGCTGGGGTTGCTTTGCAGCGGGAGCTGTCAAGCCTGAACTCTTACCTGGAGCAGCTACGGCAGATGGAGACGGTGCTGGAGGAGGTGGCTGACAAGCCACAGACAGAGTTCCTAATGGTGAGTACCAAAGGACCTCCCCTCTCTGCCTTCTGGCCGTGGCTCAGGCTCCTGAGACCTCATTCCAGACCCCACATGGGAGCCCTGAAATCCATAGCAGTGAAGGGGTGAGGTAGGTCTTCACATCAGGGTCGGATCTCCAAACTGTTGTTCAGATTAGATAGTGCGTAAGTGTCTAAGTGGCACCATTCATGTCATAAATGTTACAGGCTTGTGGGTCTATTAGGACAGCCTTCTAACAAATATATGTCTCTGGGATAAGGAAGGGTACCTTTTCTGTTCACGTGCTAATTAAAATCCAAGGGTAGCTTTGTGTCCCGGGTTTCTTTGGCTTTTCTGATCATTCTGACCCCACACTTACTATCCTTGGTGTCTGCTTCATGGCTAGAGTGCCTAGGAGTCTTTCCTCTTTGCTTTATCTCCACTCTCATTTTCTCTTTCTCCAGAAATACTGCCTGGTGACCAGCAGGTGAGAAGCTGGCTGTTTTTGCTGAACTTGCTTGCCCTAGCCTTCCAGGGTTACCCTCTGCTCACAATGTGCTTTTCACCTCATTCAGCTGACAACTATTTCTGTGCTGTGGGAGACAGCCAAGGTCCTTATCCTGAGACCTTGTATACTGGTGCCATCGTGGCACAGGCATGGGACAGGTCACGGGTATGGGAGGGAATGGGAGAGCCAAAGGAGGCAATGGACGGGAGCTGGGGAAATAACACTGCAAGTTCGGGCCATCCTCAAGCTCACAATGTCAGCAGGCCTGGAACTAATGATCTTCCTGTCTTAGCCTTTCAAATGCTAGGATTATTGGCATGCACCACGGTGCCTGGCTCAACCATTTCAAAGGGTCCATTTGTATCCAATTGTATTGCATGGCTTCGCGCTGTACAGCTGTCATCCTCATCCATTTCCAGAGCTTTTCCATATTCCCAAATGAGTGTAAGGCAGGGGTGTGATGTGGGGAAGTCCTGAGAGGCCCTCTCCAACACCCCGTGTTCTCTAGTCCCTGGGTTACTTCTTCCTGCCCCACCCCCAACATCACCTCTCCACCTCCAGGCTGCAGAAGATCCTGTCAGAGTCACCACCATCTGCCAGGCTGGATATCCAGCTGCCTGTCATCTCAGATGACTTCAAATTCCAGGTGTGGAGGAAGATGTTCCGGGCTCTGATGCCAGGTACTGAGAGGGGTGGCTCTTGGTTTGTAGAAGTGTGAGGTTGGTGGGAGGCCCGAGACACAGGGAAAGGCCTCCCAGCCCATCTCAGAAAGCCATGGAAAAAGATACTCCTTGCTCCTGGGGTACTTCTCCCTCCAACTTGGTCGGAGAAGGACCTTTGAGGGCCTGGGGTTTACGGTGTGTGAACGGCCCAGAAAGCACCCAGCTGACCCCAGGAGTGGGTGAGGCCACTGACTGCGATCCTTGGACAGTTCTTGTCCCTGTCTGACCGTAGAGATAATGGTCCCTGCTGGCTGCAGGCTGAGGTTCTGCATAGTTTCCGGCACCCTAGGGACAAAACTGCACGTGACACTGCCTCAGGGAGCCAAAGGCTCAGCTTCCTCTCCTAGGAGATAACATTTCTGGGTGCCCACAGGACACACACACAGAGCTGTTCAGCCTTTACGGTCCAGGTGAGGTGGGAATGAAAAGAACTCTAGTTTATTCAAGAGAAAATTTTCAAGGCCCAGAGACTACTACGTAGAGACAGACAGAACCGGGGTTTTCTGGCTCCTGCTCTGGACCTTTGGGCTTTTTGTGGGCCTCAGAACACATCACTCACTTGGTATCCCTGAGTCCTGCTCACCATTTGCTCTCTGTGGAGACGGTGAGAGGAGTCTAAGGTCCCTAGGTCGGCTGAGAGCAGGAAGGCTCCACCGAGCCAGCCTGACCACTGTCTGCTTCCGCAGCGTTGGAGGAACTGACTTTCGACGCCAGCTCTGCGCACCCGAGCCTGGTGGTGTCCCCTTGCGGTCGCCGGGTGGAGTGCTCGGAGCAGAAGGCGCCGCCAGCGGGGGAAGACGCCCGCCAGTTCGACAAGGCTGTAGCGGTGGTGGCGCAGCAGCTGCTGTCGCAGGGCGAGCACTACTGGGAGGTGGAGGTGGCCGACAAGCCGCGCTGGGCCCTGGGCGTGATGGCTGCGGACGCCCCCCGGCGCGGCCGGCTGCACGCGGTGCCGTCGCAGGGCCTGTGGCTGCTCGGCTTGCGCGACGGCAAGATCCTGGAGGCGCACGTGGAGGCCAAGGAGCCGCGGGCGCTGCGCACCCCCGAGAAGCCGCCGGCTCGCCTCGGCCTCTACCTAAGCTTCGCCGACGGCGTCCTGGCTTTCTACGACGCGAGCGACGCCGACGCGCTGGCGCCGCTCTTCTCCTTCCACGAGCGCCTGCCCGGGCCGGTGTACCCCTTCTTCGACGTGTGCTGGCACGACAAGGGCAAGAACGCTCAGCCGCTGCTGCTCGTGGGGCCCGACGGCGAGCGGGCCTGAGTCCCGCCCCCCCGGGGGGAGGAGGCCTGGTCCCGAAGGCGGTGGGATTGCTCGGGTCACCTTCGTTAGGCCCGCGTGGGTCGGGCACAGGCGGGTTTCTAGGGCTGAAGAGCAGGCTGAGGGGTGGGCAGGGAGGGGGGTGTTTGTCTCACAGAGTTCAGGCAAGTCCACAGGTTGGGATGCAGGGGATGCAGGGGGCAGGAGAGTGAGGGATAGAGCGTTAAGGTCTGGGAAGAAGGGGCCGAGGTTTAGGGAGGCTAAGGATTTAGTGGAGGATCTTGGGAAGTCTGTGGACAATGGTCCCTCCAATCCCCTCCCGGGCTCCCTCCTCAACCCTGACAGGTTTTCCGCTTAGTGCTTACATCTAACAGCCTTTTCAGAGAGTGCTGGTGCCTGACTGTCATCCCAGCACTCAGGAGGCTGAGGCAGGAGGATGGCAAGTTGAAAGCCAGCAGGACTCGCTCCCAAACAGATGTGTCCAGGGCCGCGACTCTGTGAGACGTTGCTGTGTTGCTGATGCAGCGGGTCTGGGGAAGGCCAAAGAGGGTCTCTTGAAGCTGGAGAGATGGCTCGGTGGTTAAGGGCGCTCGCTGCTCCAGCAGAGCGGCGAGGGTCAGTTCCCAGCACCCACCCTGTGGCTCACACACTCCAGTCACAAGGAATCTGACGGCCTCTTCTGGCCTCTGTGGGCACCTGTGGTGCACAGACGTAAGCAACAGGCAACACACTCATACACGTTAGAAAAGAAAATAAAAAAGCTTCCCTCTCTATCACTCCTGCCTCTGTCTTTGGAGACAAGATCTTGCTGTGTAGCTCGAGCTGACCTAGAATTCACCTAGCCGGCTTTCAATTCTTTGCATTTTTTTATTTTTATTATTAGTTACATTTTATTAACTCTGTATCCCAGCTGTATCCCGCTCCCTCATTCCCTTCCAAGGTTTCCAATTCTTGACTTTCTCCCTCAGTCTCACACGTGTTGGAGTTACAGGTGTATGCCAGCATGCTCAGCAAAGATGGTTGCTCCTAACCAGTTTTCTGAGTGACCCTGAAGCTGCTGCCGCCTGAGAGCAGACCCTGACCGTGGGCTGTGAGCACGGAGAGACACATTAAGTCTAAATACATTTTCTGGTTCAACTGACTAAATCTGACACAGAGGGGTCCAGGAAGGAAGACGAACTCTCAGTCCTTCCTACCCCCTTACCTTTAGACTGTGCTATTGTTTAGACATTGGGGAAATCCTGTGTTTCTCACCAAGAGGAAGAGCTTGACACTGTCTTCCTGTGGGCCCGGGTACTGGTAGCAAATAGGTTTGCTCTGGGTCTTCCAGAACTGGCTCCTTCCTGCCTTCCTGTTGGTTCATATTTTCTTAGATTTTTTTTTTTTTTTCCTTTTAAGACAGGGTTTCTCTGGGTAGCCCTGGCTGTCCTGGAAGCTGCTCTGTAGCCCAGGCTGGCCTTGAACTCAGATCTGCCTGTCTTTGCCTTCCGCGTTCTGGGATTAAAGGTGTACGTTACAATGGCCTGGCTGCTTTCTTGGATTAAAAAAAAATTATATATATATATAATTTTTAACTATATATATAGTTTAAAAATATATAGTGTATGTGTATATATATATATAGTGTATGTGTATATATATATATAAAATATATATAGTTTAAAAATATATAGTGTATGCATATATATATATGCACACATTCAATATATATATATATGTTAAATATCTTCTTTGATTCTTTTTTCACTTTGGGTATTGAGGCAGGGCCTCTCATTGACCTCAGAGCTAGAGCTTGCCAAGTTGTCTCGTCTAGCTGGCCAATTTACTTCCGGATCCCAGTCTCTCTTCCTGGTTGTTGAATTATAGCGGGTTTCCATGGCCACTTAGCATTTCTGTGAATTCTGCAGATTTGAATGTCCAGCACCCACTTTGACCTCTGAGCCTCTCCTCTCAGCCCCTCTTGTATTATTATTATTATTATTATTATTATTATTATTATTATTATTAATACCATACAACCTGCTGTTTTGCATACATCTGCTTTGAGGTTGCAGTCCTCCAGGTACAGAGAGCCTATCTGAGCTTGGTGTTATCTGGAGAACTCCCTCTCCCAGCAAGGCCTCCTACTCCCTGCCTGACCTCATCTGGAGAGTGTCTTTGGGGACAGATACCTCTAATTTTCCTATGAGCAGCAGGGGGAAAGTGCTAGCAGGGAACTGTGCCACATGAGGCCTCTGTACCAGGATGAGGCCTGGTGGTGGTGGGACATGCCTTTAATGGCAGCACTCGGGAGGCCGAGGCAGGCCCTTACTTATTGTGACACTTGTCCGCTCTCCCACCCTGGCCCCAGACTGTACTTCCTGCTGCAGGAAGTACACTCACTAGCTGGTCTCTTTGCCAAGGCAGTCAGCGTATCCTACTGCCTCCGTCCTGCTGCTTTCTTCAGGACTCCCTTGGTCCGGGGCGTCCCATGTATTCTTTCCTATCTAAAGGACACGCTGCCTCATCCCTTGTCTGGATATCTCAGTGGCTCCTCATCTCTATCCCACCTTTCAGAACGCCCCAGTTTGGAAGCCAACACAAGTTGTCTGGTTCATGAAGCTCTCTAAATCCTGGGGGCAAGCAACAGACTCTCCTTAGGTTTCATCTGGACTCTCTGGCTTCTGCACTCCAGAAAAGAGACCTCTGGTCTCCGTAGGGGTGTTGTGGGAATCCACCAGAGAAGACTGCTCAGACATGCGTTTAAGCCAATAGAGTCTTTATTAGCCAGCTGGTGACTACACTGGGTGTTCAGGATCCCAGTGTAGCCCTGAGCCTTTCTCAGCATGAGCTTCTAAGCACAAAACCATGGTCTGGGTTGACATATTTTAGTTAACAAGAATGGTTAGTACATTTAGAGACTTTCCCAGACCTGTAGACTTTGATGGATTAGGCCTTTGTTTTAGTTTTGGCTGGTGGTGCCATCTACATGCTGAGTTTTATAATTGAATGGCACTTCCATCATGGAGTCAGTTGTGCTGAGGTCTGGGCCTCTGTTACAGGAGAGTTCACTTGTTTTGAGGTTGGGGAGTCTGTTGTAATGGCAGGAGGACAAATGACATGAGTGAGGACACTAGCAAGTGACACTTGCCCTGCCCTTGTCAGCAGGACATCCTGAAGGCTGTGTCTACAGGCTTCTTTAGGACACTGAACTGTTGTGAAACACTGTTCTCTGGGCTGGACTAAGTTACTGCCCTTTTGAACTGTGTTTCCTGGGAAGGAGGCCTGTATAAGAGAGGGCCTATTTTCTCCATCATGGAGTGAGGAGGGCCTTTCCCCAGGCTTTTATGCACAGTTCATGGGTGGCTAGAAGGAAGGACTCTCCTCCCGCCCCCAAGGATATGTAGATATTAATGGTGGGTCACACAGAGAGATTTTGAGAAATCACATTTTGTCCTTTGCTTTGGGACTACCTTTTTCTTTTTGGTGCTTGGGGTAGAGCCCAAAAGCATCATGTGAGCAGGAAGGTTCCCCAAATCTTCTTCAACTGTCAAACTATTAGGCTCAAACAATTCTTTTTTTTTTTTTTTTAAACATGATGGGAATACATAGATGGTGCATTGTTTTAATTTTTATTGCTTTATGCTAGAGAGCAGCTCCAGCACACAGGGTGAACCGAGGTGGCAGCGTCGGTGATGACCAGCTGACGGCTGGTTCCTGTCTATACTTTAACTCTTAGTCTTTCAGGCAGGTAGCCTTGCTATTCTCTATATACACTTTAACTCTTAAGCTTCCAGGCTGGTAGCCTTGCTACTTGGTGCTCTCTCTCTATATACAGTTTAACTCTAGATACAGTTTAATTCCCAGGAGTCGCTGGTAATGAAAGCCTCTAAAGGAAAAGACAGCAAAGGGTGTTAATCGATTAAGCCAGGTGGCTCCTTTAACTCAGAGTACAAGCGGCTGCAGCCCTGACAGTTTCTTGCTGTAAATGCAAAAGGCTGTAAAAAGAAAAACCTTGGTTCCTTTTGACTTAATGGCTCAGCAATAAGCAGCAGTTTGCTGAAAGGTAGAGTCCTAATTAAGAAGGCCACTAAAACACTCTGGACTGCCTATTCTTTACTAAACTTAGGAACTTAGAAACATGCACGAACATTACACATTTGGCAGACAAAGCAGGTACATATTTACAAACCTCTCACACACATGCACACACACAACCAACAGACAAAACAAGGGAGCTCCCGAAGACACCATTCATCCACATGTATGTAGACATACAGATATAAACATTCATATAGACAATATATACAATTAGATAGACACATTTTTGGATGAAGCAGGTGGCCTCAGCAACTGTTTAATTTTATCTTGGGTTTTTATACTATCTAATACAAAGGTTCTCTATGTATGGGAAAATTACATTACTGAAAAAACAGACCTAACTGTTACATAAAGGGGGTTACAGTAGGACTATTGATCCTAATATCTAACTAGATGCTTTGTTTATTATGAGTTTAAAGCGGTGGCTTTACCATATGCTCATTGTGAGTTCAAAGCCGAAGTTTTATCTCGTCCCAAATGTACGTTATGTGTTCAAAGCAAGTTTTTTTCTGTCAAGGTTTTTCTAAGAAACAAGTGTCTGCTTGTCTTGTATAGCTAACCATTTATTCTTTGTTTCTAGGGTCTTGCTTACTGTGGTACACACCTGGGCCTTATCCTTGGATTAAACCTAGAATAAATGTAAATCAAGTGCTTGACATATGGAGGTTCATGGAGCTCCCAGTTTTAGTTATACTGCAGGAGGGTTTTTAAATTACTTGAATCAAGTCAGAAACTCTTTAAAATCATCATCAGGGGTTATGAAATCATCAGTTTGTTTAAAAAGCACTATGAAGGCACATCTTCAAAATAATCTGCAGGAAATCTGCCCAACAGAGTGAAGCAGTAAACAGTGAGGGTCTCTGCCATGGCAGAAATATGAGACAAGCATGGAAAGGCAGTATAGCAACAATAAGCAGTCTTGA